ATCTAAAAAACTTTTTCTTGAAATAATGAAGCAGTAGCTTCCATACAGCTAAGACATTGGCTCCTGCTCAGGGTCTTTGTCCGTGCGGTTCCCTTTGTCTGTAGAGCATACCTCAGGCATCCACAGGATTCATCTCTCCTCTGCTCTCCTGATCACTGGACTCAGAATTGCAGTCTTCTCTCACACTTGAATTCCTCATCCTCCTTCTTTGTTCACTTTATTAGTTTTACCAACACACTAACATCCATCATCGTAGTATATATTGTATCTCCCTCCCCATAAGATGTACGCTTTCCAAGATTGGTTGAATCTGCTTCCTATCTCTCAGGCCCCAGAATAAAAATTTTTAGATGGTAAGTTTTTAATGAGGAGCCAGGCAGGGAAGTGGTGATCAGACACAGAGAGCCAGAGATGGAAACAAAGACAGCTACATCAAACCCGTCATTAATAGGAGAGAGGAATCTAATGCTTAATTACCAATGGCTAATGAGCGGCATGGTCCACCGTATTTCCCAGCACTAAGCTGAATCTTAATTATGGTTGTTTCCCTCATTCTTCACTCATGATAAGCACTAAAGAATGAAAGCAAGACTCAATTTAGGAAAGAGGAGAGAACTTCAGGGAATTGTAAAAAAAAAAAAAATAGTGGAGATATGGAGGACTACAATGAACCTTTGTAGAAGTGAAGGCGGTTTCTAAAATATGTTTTAACACAGAGAAAGTGGGATATCTTACCCATTTTCAAATACAACTATCGAAGGCAAGTATCAGAGCCACAGTTATCTTAAAATAGAAGCTATTTTGCATTAATGAGGAAGGCCCTTAATAAGATGTCACCTATAGGGTGGGAGTGAAGAGTGATGAATTTTTTTGAAGTGTGCTGATATAGATATAGCTATAGTAATGAGGGAAGGGCTTAAAAGATATCATTCTTGAGCAGGGAACTATGTCTCAAGCCTATAATCCGATCTATTTGGGAGACAGAGATTGAAGGATCTTCATGACTCAAGGCCAATCCAGGCATAAAATTTTGATATACTCCATCTCAACCAACATCTGAGCACAGTGGTGTATATTATCCATGCTGCAGGGAAAACACAATTTCTTAATGCTGTAGGGGCATGTCTGTCATTCCTGGTGACTGGTAGAAAACCAAGCCAGTCCAGGCCAAAAACAAAATCTAACCAAAAAAAAAAAAAAAAAAATCCAAGCATAAAGGACCTGGAGGCGTGGCTTAATGGTAGATTGCATGCATAGCAAATACAAGGCCCTAAATTCAACCCCCAGTACTGGCCCCCCCAAAAGGTTATTCTTTAGTTTTCCCTCTTGGTTTCTGCTTTTACCTATATAAAACATACAATGCAGTAAATTCACTGAAAAGATGTCCAGTGCCATTGACTAAGAAGAGACGTTGATATTGTGTGAGGTGCTGTAAAGCCACTTCATCAAATGACAGCCGGGCTATAACTCTCTTTCCTCTTCCTATCTTTAACTTCAAAATAACAGCTTTGACCTTTGGCATTTTTTTTTGGCTGGTCTTGGGCTTGAACTCAGGGCCTGGGCACTATCCCTAAACCTCTTTGTGCTTAAGGCTATTACTCTACCACTTGAGACACAGTGCCACTGCAAGGTTTTTTTTCTGAGTAGTTTATTGGAGATAAAGAGTCTCATGGAATTTTCCCAGGCTGGCTTCAAACCATGATCCTCAGATCTCAACCTCCTGAGTAGTTAGGATTATAGGCGAGAGCCACTGTCACCAAGCTTAGCTTTGACATTCTTTAGTGATAGTTTTTCTACTATAATGCAGTAGTAGTGCACAACCAACAGCCCTAGACCATGTGCATCTCTGATAGTTCTGATCAAGCCAACTCAGTATCGCTGCCAGATGTAAGCAGCTCTCCTTGAATATTTATATAAAATAACCATCACATCTAGAGCATCATATTAGGTGTTCTGATAGTGAACAAGAAAAGTAAGGCATAAACTGACTCCAAGAGGTTTACCATCTAAGAGGAGCCAAGGCCTAGCAAATAGAAAGCATCGCTATGTTGGATAGGTGCCAGTCTGTATTAAGAAACTGAGTAAACAAAATCTCCTTGGTCTGACAATGACATCATTCATACAGATTGCTATTCAGATTGAAATTAGATGAAGCAATCTTGCTGTATGGAGTCAAGAGATGATTTTATAGCAGCTTTACCATTAAATAAATTCACAAAGTTATTTGGTATCTTTCCTAATACTGGGAATGGGAGGTGTTTCATTTTGTTTTGGTTTGGACTTCTCAGACTCTCCACACGCTAATTTGGAAAGCTCCTATTTCCATCCAAAACCTGCCATGTTCTGACCTAAAGAAAGGTTAACATGCTTCCTTATTCTTCCCTTATCACATATGCACAAATTGTGATTGGCTGACTCTTTCTACAATAGTATCAGATTTATCCAAACCTGGCTTGAATTTCAGAACACTGAATTCTTCTTGTTCAGGTGCATGGATGTATTAAAGCCAGCCCTACAGGTTCAATACATTGCCCATTTAGGTTTATCCTTATCTCTGCATCTTTTTCTACACCTCTCAGCACTTAACCCACTGTTCATTCCAACTAGAAGGCAAAGAAGAGTAAAAGTAAAGCTCAGTTCTTTTATTTTACTACTATGGTAAACTTAATGCCTCTTACAACAGCAGACTCAGGAAGAGCAATGACAAAATAGTCTTGTCTAAAATAACCACAAATAGGAAATGTTAACCGCCCAAATGATTTATATGTGCCAATACTGGGGCTTGAACTCAGCTTGAGCCAGGCTCCATGTCTAGCTTTTTGAATGTTAATTGGAAATAAAGCTCAACAGACTTTCCTGCTGAGGCTGGCTTTGAACCACTTTCCTTAAACCTCAGGCTCCTGAGTAGGTAGGATTACAGATGTGAGTGTTGGTGCCTGGCAACCCAATTTTTTTAATACTTTAACATCACTTCAACATAGTAATGATTTATAAAATCAACTAATGATAATATAAAATATTGGAATTGCTCGCAGATGTAGGTCTGTATCCGTTCAATGTCATGTTACTGTTTGCAGATTTCACAGTGCTTTTATAAGTTTCATTGCAATGAAAATTACAAAGCTGTATTGGCCAAAATTTATTGTGCAACTATTATGTGTCAAGTCTTTTCAATGTATTGCCTTATTTAATTCTCCCTAACAACTCTGATGCATTTTTTCGTTCTCTACTTTATAGATGATGAAACAGAGAGTTAAAAATATACTCAAGGACATCTATTGACCAAAGTGTCATTTTATAGAAATAAAATTGTGTGATAGAAATAAAAATGTTACAAGAAATTAAATTGCCTTACAAAGGTGTAACAGGAGTACCCCATCAATGATGGTTTGTGTTTATTAGGTAGATATTTGCCAGGCCTGCAACAGTAAATCAGGCTGATTTTAGGATAGGCTCCAATTTCACAATACCCAGGATAAAGAGTTTCATTGGAATTGACCATCATATTACAAAACTACCTCCAATATATCTGTAGATTAAAAAATATAACCAGGAACCAGTGACTCATGCCTATATTCTTAGCTACTCAGGTGGCTGAGATCTGAGGATCACAGTTCAAAGCCATCTCCGGCAGAAAAGTCTGTGAGACTCTTATATCCAATAAACTACTCAGAAAAAGCCTTAAGTGTCACTGTGGCTCAAATGGTAGAATGCTAGCCTTGAGCACAAAGAAGCTCAGGGACAATACCCAGGGCCCTGAGTTCAAGCTCCAAGACCAGAAAGTAAAAAGGAAAAAATACAATGATGTTTCTGGGTTCCTGACTACTATCTGGTCATTCCTATCCCCATACCTACCAAAATTAATATGGGCCTTTCTTGGGAACAACAATATCATAGAAACATCTTCAAGTTTTTGAGTACATGGATTGAGTCAGCAGAGTTTGTTTTTAGAACCCAACCAGAATTTTGAAGGCTTAGACTTTGAAATGCAGACAACAAAGGTAAGATGTTGGGTTTGCAAACCTCTGTCTGATGAGAATAAACTTCAGAAGAAAAAATAGCAATTATTTTAGCAACCGATAGAAGTAGAGCAAATGCTTTTTGTGTCTCTTGGGTTATATTTTATTTTGTTTAATTTTCATATTTGGAGAAATTAGGGAGAAAGAGCATGCGTTTCTGTACTGGACCTAGCATACATCTTGTCCACTGGCCAGACACCATAATTTACCTGCCAGCATGAGCTTCAGAGGTACCGCATATACATTTTGTAGGTTTTTTCCCCCAATCCTGTCATTAATTATAGTCTTAAATTTTTCTCAGTAAAGCAGTCAGGGCCAGCTTTTTAAGGATTTACAAACCATTGTAGTAACTGACTTTCCCTCTGTGAAATGAGGAGCTATAAAAGGTTTTGAGAAGAGGAGTAGTAACAATCTTAACTTCCCATTCTTAGAGAAACAACTGTGTGACAGCTTCCCGAGTGACCCAAGAAAGCCTATTTAAACCATATTATCAATAAAACAAGGTGCTAATCAGACCCTGGAGACCTGATTTCTAAACCCTAGCCACTGCTGAGGTCCAGGTGATAGGGTTTGACTCCCTGCTCAGATGAATGACTTTGGGAATAATATCAAGTGTCTCTGGAAAAATAAAGACAAACCACACCTTCCCTTTTTTGGATTTATTTTGAAAAAATAAACACTGAATACAGAAGCACTTTGTAAATGATAAAAAAAAAAAAAAAACAATTTAAATGCCAAGAAGGCTGGTGACAGAAACAACAGCCAGTGTGCTAAAAATATAAGCTTCTTCTTCCCATCTCTTCTTATTAGAGGGTCACAGGACCAAGGCTTCTTCCTCTGTCTCCTACACTGGAAGTGGAGGAAAGAGAGGAGACTGGAGCTGACCTGCACAGCTCCTCCATTCAGGACTCCGTTTATCAGGCTATGCTCAGACAGGAAACTTCTTCAAATAACCACAGCCTTCATCTTCTTCTTCCCCAGGCATTCCTCCTATGGAAGGCTTTTGGATGACCATGACTACGGGTCCTGGGGAAACTACAACAACCCTCTGTATGATGACTCCTAACGAAGAAAGGTGGCCTGTGATGAGGAATAACTGTCCTTTATTTATAAGTGCTTATTCAGTAGAATTAATAACAAGTACCTGATGCGCATTGAATGACAATCTCAAGTCCTGTTTTGTTGGTATGGTTGTTTTTGTTTTTCTCCCTCTCCTCTGGCTGCTACGTTGTCCCCTTCCTGGTACAAAAGAACCATTATTTAAAGATGAGTAGAGACTGGTTTGCTGATGAAATGGGCCAAGCTTGCACTGGCCAAGCTAGACCACTGTAGTGGAGACATCAGCACCCACCAAAGGACTCACCTTGAGAAGAACTGAGGAAGAATGATTGGCTTGTATTGTTAGGAGTTAATTTTAGGGGAACTTTGTGTTTGGATTATTTCTTAAGCTTGTCTCTAGGAAATTGCATTAACTATCAAGGAGGAGAAAAAGGAAGCCGTCCTCAGAGGATTTCTCCCTGCATGGAGAAGCAGAGGGTTCTCAGATTCCTCTTTAATCTGTTTATCTGGTGGTATCCAACAAGATGCCTGCTCTGCTCTACAAGCTGGATAGTGAGGTTTAGCTGCCTAATTAACAAAAGATGAAAATAGGCGGTGCCCTGGAGGTGACTAGCAGGCTGAAGGCAGAGTGTTCACTTGTTGTGGGATCTCAGCATGCCCTCTACCTTCTCCCCTCCAAGCCAATCAAAGATAACTAGGATCACAGCCCACAAGCTCCCAGCAGAATTGCGGTTCCTAAAGAGAAGGCAGGGAGATGAGCCCAAAGTCAAGAAAGGAACTGGCTAGTCGAATGAGAGAACAGAATAGGATAGAGGAGAGATCACAGGCATGGTGTATTAAGTACCTGCTCAGCCACCTCTCAGCGGCTGTCAAAAACATCCACCGCTTAGAGGAACCATATAACTCCTGCTTCACACCCATGAAGCAACGGGTCACTCTCTGGCTATCTGCTGGGTAATGGCTGAGAGCTGTTTTTAAAGAGGAAAAAAAAAAAAAAAGAAGAGGCCCTGGTCTATCTGCAATTGCTTAATGACACATTTCCATAGAAAACAGACCGCATGAATAATCCATTTATTCTCCTGTATGCTTTCCTTACTCATTCTCCACTTTAATAAGTGAACGCCTCTGGGTATTCAGTCTTAAAATCCTGTACAACAGATTTTGAAAAATAACTGTTCATATTTGAGGGATTTCATTTTATTTCAGTCATTCTCCACTAAGAATGATTTGTGCCTCCCCACTCATGGGTATTTGAAAATGTCTGGTGACATTTTGATTGTGATAAACTAGGAGTGCTACCCATGGGCAGAGACCCCCTGCTAAACCTTCTGTGGTACACAAAGCCGCCCTCTATAAGGAACTATCCCAAATATCAATAGGAATGAGACTGAGAAACTCTGGTATATTGCAATGTCCCTGTGACAGAAAAAAAAAAATCACAACTTAGTAATGCTTTTTTTTTAATTTATAACCAATAAAATGATGTGCCAAATTTTTATCCTCAGAGTTATTTAGTTTGCTGGCTGATAGGTTGGGTTTTGGCATGCATGGTTGTTTCTTTATCCTTTGTGTTGTTGAAGAGTATTACATCATGGCTACCCCTCTGTTCTCTTCTAATATCTAATATTAGCAACTGGTATTTTATGTCCTGCCTTCAGGAAATAGACAACACACTCTTTGAAATGTGTCATCTCATCCTCCAATGTCATAAAGAACTTGAAATGGCATCAATTTAGATTTCTAAACATGGATCTTGTTGCCATGCGTGTTTTGGAAACTATACTTGCTGTGCTTTTCCTGAACCCTGCAGTTACCAATTCCCATAACCTGCCATTTGCCCTCTGAAAGACATTATTCTAAAATGCTAGGGGCCCAAGGGAATGAGCAACCCTGGAGGCTTTCCACAGGAGAGCCAGAGGAATGAAGTGGCAGAAATTAAGATATCTGAATACTAAACACAAGAGGAAAACAAAACAAAACATGGACCTTCTCCAAAAAAAAAACAAATTACAAAGAATGACCAAAGATGCCCTCTTTGGCCATGCTTGGCCTCAACAACTGTCCCTCTTCCCCACCTCAGTCCCTTCCATCGGGCTTTCAGCCAATAAAAACAGGACACTCCACATGCTTTTCTCCCTTCACTCAGCCAAAATCATTTTGACAAAATGTCAATGAAACACCTCTGGAGAAGTGCATGATTTTGTGGGTCTTAATTCTTGGTCAGAGAGACCAAGAATCCTGACCTATTATAAACCAAGAATGCAGCATGTGTTTTTCCATACTGAAGGTTTATTGATAGGTTTATTGCTGTGATTCACTTCTTTTTTTTTTTGGGGGGGGGTCCGGTTGTGGGGCCTGAACTCTGGGCCTGGGCACTGTCCCTCAGCTCTTCAGCTCAAGGATAGCACTCTACCACTTGAGCCACAGCACCACTTCTGGCTTTTTTTTTTCTGCTTATGTGGTGCTGAGGAATCGAACCCAGGGCCTCATGCATGCAAGGCAAGCGCTCTACCACTGAACCACCTTCCCAGCCCCTGCTGTGATTCACTTCTAAAAGCTTCTAGCAAAGAGATGGGTCTGGACCCAGAGCAGGTATATTCAGCAAGGTAACAGCATCACACAAAAGCACAGTGTCTGTTAGCACGAAATACATGAAGGTGGAACCTTATTTTCCCAACTGTATTTTTGCCTGCTATTGAATTAGCCAAAATATTTTAGCAAGTTTATTGTACAAATGATAATTCACACACACACACACACACACACACACACACACACATACACATCTGAAACATATGCCAGTAATTGATGTCTTTTACCTCAGGGAGAGTCTGTCTAAGTCTACCCAAGGGAAATGGCTCCATCAGATCTAAACTACATATGCTAGCATAATAGGAGCAATCCTGATGCGATACAGAGAATGTCAGAGCAAGAGGGAGGCAGACAACCTCTCCTCAAGATGCTACAAATGAGCACAGAGGAATCCACTTTGTTCAATTTGGTTTTCTTTCTTGCAGCCCCACTGGTATCCCCAGAACATCTGTTTTTTCTTTATTTGTAAAATAGGGGTGGTGGTTTGATATTGAGCTCACCCCATTCTACCTCACAGATTGTGTTGTGAGGGATGAAGAAATTGTGTCAACAGTATTTTCAGTTTCTGGAGAAACTATTTATAAACGTGTTAAGTATTACATAGATACACGTGATCTCAGATTCTTATTTGCTGTTATACTGATGTGTGGTTTTTACTTATTCTATGAAACTATGATTCTATCATATCCACATCAGACTGAGCTTCCCTCCCATTCACTTGATTGACACAGTATGAACTGTGCCTGGTGATACAAAAGGTAGTTACCATCTCCCACTGAAAGGATGGGTAGTCTGGACACAGGGCTCACAGATGAAAACATCAGAATTTAGAAGGTTAAGGTGGCACAGAACAAACACCCGAGCACTGTTAGCAGTAAGATCTCTGCTTTCACTCTCCAGAGGTCTTGGATGCACTGTGGAGTTGATTGTGGTTTCATGTCATCTGCTTGCCCTTCACCTTGCTTGCAAGGGTGCATGGTTCAATCCCTTGACTCTGGGAAATGACGTAACTGGGCTGGATGCTGATTTGCACGTCAATTCACCTTCTTTGCCTTTAACCTTTTTTTCAGGGGCAAATGAATGTACCATTTCAATATTGACCTTAAAAATACTAGTTGGTATTGGTAATAGCCAAGAGTTTATTGCCAGATTTTCTTTCTTGGGGAAGTTAGCCAACTGAAAGATGGAAAAAAATGTGCAACTTCTTTGATGTCATTGTATCTACATTTGTTGTAAGACATATTGCATATCAATTATAATTACGTCAATTAAAGTTGTTACAAGCTTGTGTCTGGCTGTGGTGGTTCACATTTTGATATGTTTTATTATTCAAGCCATTCAGTTGATAGGCTTAATACTGCTCAATATTAAATAGCTTTGACTTGTCCTTAAAGAAAATGTATCCTACATCAATAAATGATATTTTCCACAAAACAAGGAAAGTTTCTCTGATCTTGAAACAGGATTAAAGAATGTCTGCAATGAAGACACTTTCCAAGCAAGTGATTTTACTCTCAAATATTCTGTGTGCCTTATACAGCGAGGTAAAAGTAAACACTTTGATTTAATGAGTTAGATGTTGGTATATAATGAAGCCATATTAAGGCTTATTGGAATTAACAGTACATGTGATACTTGCTTCACTTCCCTTCAAAAAAGTTAATTCAGCATATTCATCCTTATTTGACAGTTAAGGAGCAATTTCAGCCATCTAAAATATAATTTCAACCCCTAGAAATTATTATTCTAATTTTGAAGCAAATAGCAACAGCAAATCACAGGCATGTTTCTTTGTAGGAGAGGAATGGACCACCTGGAAATTAAAAATTGTTGTTCAGATGATGAATATAAACTTTAGGTTTAGAAAGTTTACTTATGTAGTCTCAGGTAACAGCATCAAAGATTGACTAAGAAGTACCAAAATAGAGAATGAAAAGGAAGATATTTCCAATGATTGATGACTCAGTTTTATAGTTTGGACAAGGGTCCGCTAAAAGCCCATGTATTACAGGTTTGGTCACTGGTCTGTGGCCCTTTTGGGGTTTGGAGGGAGGACCTCTACGAGGTAAGACCCAGTACAGGGAAGTTAAAGCATTGGGAGTATGACTTTGAAGGAGCTATTAAAACCCTAGCCTCTCTTCTTTCGCCTTTTACTTCTTAGCAACCATGAGATGAACAACTTCCTGTTTTACATTCCCACTATGATACTATGAATCACTAGATCCAAGAGCAGTGGATCAACTGACCCAATGAGTAAGCTCACATATTGCATGAAACAATGAACCAAGATGACCCTTCTCTCCTTACAAGGTTATTGTCTAAGATAGTTTATCACAGTGACAGAAAACTGACTAGTCCAACATATTCAGTTATTTTAAAGACCTACCATGGTCATAAAGACAATTGAAGACTCCATTATTGCAAATTTACCTGAATAGTCACAGGAAAAAAAAAACCAATAAGAATTTGTAAGGCTGGGAATGTGGCTTAATAGTAGAATGCATGCCTACCAAGCATGAAGCCCTGGGTTTTATTCCTCAGTACCACATAAATAAAAAAAGCCAAATGTGGTGCTGTGGCTCAAGTGGGAGAGTACTAGCCTTGAGTAAAAGAAGCTTAGGGACAGTGCCCAGGCCCTGTTCAAGCCCCATGACTGGCAAAAAAAAAAAGAATGTGTAGTGCTGACATATTACAAATTTTTAGGGGCAAATCAAAATTTTTTCTATAATACAGCATTTTCCTCTCAGATCATAATCGTATTTCAATTATTTAGTATCCTATCTACAATCTTTTACTCTCTTAAAATTCAAATCACCAACAGCTAGCTAGCATTTTGATTTTTTGGGGGGGGAGGGGGGGATCTGGTCGTGGGGCCTGAACCCTGGGCCTGGGCGCTGTCCTTCAGATCTTCAGCTCAAGGCTAGCACTCTACCACTTGAGCCACAGCGCTACTCCCGGGTTTTTTCTTTTTTGCTTATGTGGTGCTGAGGAATCGAACCCAGGGCCTCATGCATGCAAGGCAAGCACTCTACCACTGAGCCACCTTCCCAGCCCCTAGCATTTTCATTTTTGTCCAAAAGTCTTGAATTAAAAATAACTCTTAAAAAAGAACTGTTCAAGTTGGAGAAAAACTTTTGAAGAGGTATAACCATTTGTTTAGTATTTCTCAAATATGACCCACATTCACTAGCCTAAAATATCAATCATCAGTTTGAGTCAACAAATGTACTGAGGGCTGTGGATGTAGCTCAGAGGTAGAGTATTTGCCTAGCATGCTTGAGAGCATGTCTGAGTTCAATCCCCAGTATTCTCCCTCTCCTCAAAGGAAGAACTGAGTTTCTATCTTAACTAAGAAATTGAACATTTGCCATAAAAAATAAATCAAATATTCATTAGTGTACTTATGTGCCTAGGGTATTGTGTGCATCTGCTTTGGAGATTGTTACAGGATCTCCAGCTTAAAGATAGGGAAACTGAGGCTTTAGAGTATTAAATTCATTCACCTAAGTAGTAAATCTTTCTTTGTAATTCATAATAAATAATAAGTTCAGTACTTGCAAGTTTACTGTGTGGCAAAAGTAGGACTCAAACTTGCTCCTTCAAGCACCAGAGCCTTTAGTCTTTTTCTACCCAAGGAAACAGTATCTGTTATAAGTATAACGTAGGTCTTAAGACCTTCACACTTCCCATTCTATGGGACTTTCTGCCCCTTGCAAAGGCCCTCCCAGCTATTTTGGGGAGTCTCAAGAGTGTCTGGCATGCAGTTGAAAGCAAGCCCAGTCAGCTCCCCAGCACATGTTCCCCACCGGGCACTTGTTACCTTTCTGCTGACTTCTGTTGCCTGCCAGATTGTGTTCTCTGTGACAAGAAAGCCTGCCTTTTCTCCTCTCCTATTAAGGACACGTCCAGCACAGGGCCCTATTGTCTCATGGAATTTTAGTGAGAATCTGTTAGTGTCCACTTATGGCTAGGAACCAAATTTGCATCTACCACAGCCTGGGCTAGGGATACTGCCCTTGGAATTATCACTGTTCCTACTCTGAGTATGTCATCAAATTTGACCAACTTGCCTTTCCTTAGGATAGTAGTGATGATAGCTTGGTTCTCACATCATACTTACCATAAGCCAGATACTGCTGTAACCATTTTAGATGTCTTAATATCTTTATGAGGATGTTTCTACATGAGGTACTATAATCCCCACAGATGATAGATCAGTAAACTAATGGCCAAACAAGTGAAGAAACTTGTCTCAGCTTACAAAGTATAGGAGAGAACTGAAATATCCACAGTCTCCAGAGTTCAAGCTTTAGGCCATTTCCAAACAGAATCCTCACTCCATGCCAGGAATTCTTGACACAAATGTTCTGTCAGCCCTCAGGCCAGCCTATACATGTGGGACAACTTGTAGGCAAAGTTGAGTACCCAATACAAAAGCAAAGTTCTCTAAAGGAAGGGTTAGATCAACCCATTTTCCGGGCATCCACACTGGGTAGCACCTATGCAGGGATGCAGTAACTTTAGATCTTTTGAAAATAACAGCACCCCCACACCTGATGACCTGCAGACTCTGAGTAGCTTCTCACTATATCCTAGCTGTTTCAGTCAAGGTCACTGTATTTGTGTATTTCCTATTATTGACACAATACCACAGAGCAAGTGAGTTATGAAAATGGGAGGTTTATTTTGGCTCACAGTTCTGGAGGTACAAGGTCAAGGGGCCACAGCTACTGATAGCCATCTTACAAAGGTAGTACAGGGCATTCTATAGTAAGAGACAGGAAGCAAGTATATGTATGCGCATGTGTTTTCTGGTGTATTCTTAGAAAACCAACAGTAATGATCTTATCAAATACCACTCATCTGCTAAAGATTGTCCACAGATAAAGTTTTCACCATCTTTATATTTCACAATGGGGATTCAAGTTTAGCATGAATCACAGTGGATGCTATAGGTCTACATGTTAGAGGTTTGGTCCTAAACACTAAGAAGTGGTGGTAGCTTTAGATGTGATATTTAAGTATTTAAAGAGATGTGTTTAGGTGATGGGGGGGCATGGTCTTATATTTTTGTTGTTGTTGTGGGGCCTGAACTCAGGGCCTGGGTGCTGTCCCTCAGCTTTTCAGCTCAAGGCTAGTGTTCTACCACTTGAGCCACAGCGCCATTTCAGGCTTTTTCTGCTTATGTGGTGCTGAGGAATCGAACACAGGGCTTCATGCATGCAAGGCAAGCACTCTACCACTGAGCCACGTTCCCAGCCCATGGGGGCATGTTCTTAATAGAGGGTGTGAAACCTCAGCCCCTTTTGGGCTAACTCAGAGGGACATCTATATTTAAATCATAATAATCCACCACTTAATTGCCACCAACTACCTCTGACTGACCTAGGCATTATCACCAGGTCCCATACGACAGTTGTAATGACATGGTCCAGATCATTGTCTTGTTCCCCTATTGACCATTTCTCCCTTGGCACATGGACAGAATTCACTGCAACAATACACTGAGAAGCACAGTCTTGAGCTGTCAGACTATGTGAGAGAAATGTCCACTTCTAGTCTCCATGCCTGGACATTTAGCACTGGTACAGGGTTCTAGCAGGAATGACAAAGATACTGCTCTGTGTGTTTTGGGGAGTATAAGTTAAATTTTTAATACAGAATTACATTTCGTATAGAACTTAGTCTCACAACAAAGAGCAAGAAGAGAGAGGTTAGGGAAGTCACCAACAAGTAGTTACTCGAACTTGAGGGTGTTTGGAAAACTATTCTCTCTTGGGCTGTAAGAAGAGAGAGAGAGATGGGCTCTTGTGAATTCACTGAGAGCCATAACTACGCACACCCTCTTTCTAAAGAATGATTTTGCTTTTTCTATCATCAATATGTTGTCTGAAAACCTGTCATAGTAAAACACTAGCCAGCCAGTACCACACAAGAAAGTGGATCCCCGTTCTCCTGTTTCTGACTTTTCCTTTGTATTGCAAAGGAGATCTTAGTGTTACAATGCCTAATGGTATCTTAGAGGGGCAAAGATTTGAGTTGTGACAATGCTGAGCTAAAAACAATCATAGTCTGCCTCTTACCCCAGAATTTTCCAAGACACACATTCACAGCAACATGTTACTTACTCCTACCATGACACAATAATCCCTTACACAGCTCAGAAAGCAAGGGTTTTCTCCTTAAGAAGAAAGACACGGTTTTTCTGTTGTTTTTGTTGGCCGTGGTGGTAGTGTTTGTTTTGCTTTATTTTTTTTTCTTTTAGGGGTACAAAGGGAGTGAGCAGAAGGGGGGAGGGAGGGAGTGTGAATAAATGCAATCATGCTATTCAGTATACACTATGTGGAAAAATGACCTATATATAATTTTGGGCAGGGATGGGAGTTGGGAGAGGGGAAACCATTGTCCAGAAAATGAAATTTACTAATCATCTGACTTATGAAATGG